CACCCCAAAATTTCATTGCCTGCCCAGCTACAATTAAGTTGTTTAAACAAATGTGTTGCAATGGTAGAAGAAAATGTGTGTGTGTCTGAAAGCTGTAGGTACTGGGGGTACTTATAATTTTTTTTTTAAAAAAGGGGGTACTTTATAAAAAATGTTGAGAAACACTGCTACAGATGTTGCAAGCTGCCACATGAAGTCACAGCACCACTCAGTTTAGGCCCAGCCCTTAAACCTCAAGGAGCAGTCAGTCCAAACACCACACATTCACATTTGGCCCAGCAGCATCTCCTGTCACAACAGAAGAGCAGCCAGGTCAAACGTGAGCGGGGCTGTGACCCTGTACACCAGGCTGCAATGGCCAAGTGAAGAGCCAGGCCCAGCACTGTAAGACAGGGGCCACCACTGTAAGGTGAGTGCTTGGCTGGTTCATTCACCAGCCTTCTGAGTCTCTCTGTACCCAGTCAACATTATGCTACCAGCACTGTCTGCCCCAGCACTGCAATGAGTGGTTGGTGCCCTCAGTAGTTTAGTATAGTGCATTCATTGCATCAGGTGGACATATCTACCCGTTCCCGCTAAGGATGTAAAATCCAGTTTAATTGGTTAACCAGTTAAATGTGATGTTTAACTGGTTAACCGACTAAAGGGGGGGCAGGCTGCAACACCGCCCTACCTACTGCAACCAGGGGCCACTCTGGCTGTCTGGAGCAGCTCCTTCCTGCAACACACCCACGCTGCTGCAGACAGGGTCTACTCTGGACAGGATGGAGTGCTGCTGTTCACATGGGCCCCATGGGGGTCAAGCAGCCCCCTACCCATGGCAGGCTCTGATTCAGCCCTACCGATTAACTGGAACTGGTAAGCATCACCCACTAAGGGTGATGCTTACTGGTTAACCTTTCACATCCCTAGTTCCCACTTCTATATTTAATTGATACAGGGATTTTGTGGAACTTTACCAGTAAGGATGAATGCCATACAAGCTGTACTGTTTTAAATCTACATGGTCAGAAACTAGTTTATATACCACATGTTCCAGCTTAATGACTGCACTGGCCACAAGTTCAGCAAGAGAGGTGATTTGCACACACTTAGGCTGCTTTTTTTTGAATGTACAATGACCCAGCAGGCTGCTAAACCACTGCTTTTTTTTGAATGTACAATGACCCAGGCCATTCACTCCCCTTGCCATCCACCTTGGAATGTTTCTTGTATTAGGGCATCCTGTTGGGAAAAGTGGAGGTGGGGAATCCCACAAAAGCCTGCTGGACTGGGGGTCTTATGGTCTCTCTATAACCTCCATATACTTACTACAGCAGCACCAAGGCATGGGTGTGATTCAAGTAATTCTTTTGAAAATTTAGGTTTTGGTGGGATGAAGAAAGCTTTTAACAATTCATATTAATAGAAATATAGCTTAAAAGATAATCAAACAAAAATACATTGTTCTAAGCAACTGAAAACCAAAAAATTAAACTGACTGAAGAGAAAGTGAAAATGACCAGTCAATTTACATAGATCTTGCTGTCTGAAGTGCAATAAGTAAACAGTAATCACAAAAAGTGGTATTATATAAAATTGGACTTGATTCTGACCGCATCTCTCTTTCACATTTAAAATTTGTTATTTCCATGAAGTTAGTCTTGAGGTACATTAAAATGCAGCCCATTAATCAATGGTACCCCATTAATACATTGAATAAAACCTTCAATTACAGAAAAATAAACCCAAAATATATTGGATTCAATTACAAGAAAAATGACATGAAATCAAACTTGGTCGATCATAATTAGTGAAATATCAGCAATAAGCTAAGAATAGTCAGGAAATCAAACTTGGTCAATCATAATTAGTGAAATATCAGCAATAAGCTAAGAATAGTCATTGCTGTACTTACAGCTATCATTCAAGAGGTTCCTAACTGCTCATTTCAGGACCATTTTATTGTTTCTAAACTTATCATTGGTTTATATCTTTTTTTTCTTTCTTGAAAGGCTACAGGAATAAAAAAACTCCACTTACTCATTTTTGCTAGCAATTCACACTTAAAATATATAACTTATTAAATAATTTATCCAGTGAATTGCATTAATCTTTTGATCTTTTCCTTTTTCAGCTTTAAGTAGTTCTTCCGTCTTTCTGCCCCATTAAAAGTAGCATTCTGGCATTAACAATACATTTTGCTTCTCTCAAAATGATCTATGTTTAGTATGACAAGCTATAAAGAAAATCTGGAAACCAGACTCCTGAGGTGTCCTAAAAGTAGCTAAATATATATGAATGAAACTTACCAGCACTTTTAGCTGTGATCCTTGACCCATGTCTCAGCAAGCGAATACACACATCTTTGCTACAGTGGTTAACCATACGCAAATGAATACTTTTCCTGGTTTGGATTTTTACCAGACATTTCACCATACTGACTATTATATTTTCTATTACAGCCTTGTAAAACTACCACCCATACTGGCTTTGACCTTTCACTAAGTTTCCACGGTGTTTTAAAGGACTAAGGCTGTCACTCTGAATGAATCAAATGACAGGCTTCTAACATGACCAATAAAAATAACCCATTAGGGATCAGAAGGGGAGGCTATTTTTAAACATTTCCAACTGTCTTGTAACATACAATGGAATATCTTCAATTGCAGCTTTCACACTTAGCAGTTGTTAATAAAACAGCTGAATTAAACACAAAAATAAAAATATGTAATGCACTAAAACATAGTAAGATGAAACCACAGACCACAAAAGAGACACAAAGTATCTGTGCAAAGTGACACTATGACCCCTTTTCAGAGTTGCAATCAGTGTAATCTGTGGATGCATCTGTCATCATCTAGGGCTAGAGCCTTAGTCTCTGCATGGAACTCAAAGTTACTCTCACTAGGAATCTGAGTATCCCTCCTGCAGAGGAAGAAGGTTATACAAGTATTCTTCATTTCAAGTTGTGCTAATTAAGATTCCTCAACTAAAGTTCTATGCCTTGGAATAAGTGGAAGACGAACAGAAAAGTGCAAGTGAACAAGTGTTTCTCCCTCTAGAGATGTGCACCAGTTCTCAATGATGGACAAAACCGGAGAATGTTCACCTCCACCAGAAAGAGGTATTGCCCCAGAAAGCACATTGCATTCACTGGTTAGCCAAGGATATGCTGGGTCACCAAATAGACTTAATCCATATATGTATCTACAGTACATATCTAATTGCAACTAGAAAAATTTAATAAAATAGCATATATAATGTCATCCTGACGGTGGTACTGGCAAATCTTGCTGGTGCCAATGAAGCCATCTGGGGAAGGAACAGTGTGTCTCACACCCCTGTAATACTCATATAAGATGTTCAAAGACTTACGGTGCTATCAGAGCCTCCACAGCAGAAGCTCTTGCTCTCCCTGCGCCATATAGGAGAATGAAGCATACCAACATATTGTCAATTCATCCCCCTACTTTGTTTCATATAAGACATCTATTTTAACTCAGCCAGATATTCCTGCAACTGCATTTTGGCTAAACATTGTTATATATAAACAATACATTTTGGGCTTCATATAAGTGAGAATTTGCCCCGTGCCCCAAGATTCCTTTTACTGCTCCCCAAAGTAACTATGTGGAACAGACTGCCACTGATGCTTTGACTGCACCCATTTTCCTTTTCACGAGTAAATTCCTTATGGGGAAAAGAATGGACTAACTGGGCTCTTCTCTGTTTTGCCCCATTTTGCTACCTCTTTAGAAGTGGTATTGCTACATGATTCTATTAAATTCCACCATCATCACACTTACTAGGACATAAAATGCAAATCCTGGCTATCAAGTAGTACAGCAGCTGTACTATTTATAGATTTACAAAATCAAGTAGAGCCTGTTCTCTGCCCCGGGCTTCCCGGAGTCAGCTGTTGGTCAGTTTCAGCAGCGATTGAATTGGGGACGCCTGGGGGCAGAGCAGCTGGGGTGCTACCGGGTTGTTCCAGTAGCATTGCTCCTGAATCGGGGACAGCTGGGGTGCTGCCGGGTTGGTCCCGTAGCGCCGAGGGGCAGCTGCTGAATCGGGGAAGCTGGGGACAGAGCAGCTCCAATGGTCTAGCTGCCCGGAGCACTTCCGGGTTCCTGATGGTGCCGGACCATCAGGAGTGCCGGATCATCAGATGCCAGACCAGTGGAGTTTTACTGTATATATGGTATCATGAGCTTTCATAGGCAAAATCCACTTCTTCAGATGAGCTGGATTGGAAATAACAGGAACTCAGAATTTATAACAGAAAAAGATGGGGAAAGAAAAAAAAGTTACCTGTCAATAGTCGTACTGGTGCCAATGAGGCTAACTGAGTGGGCTGGAAGTGTCCCAGACTTAGCTTTTGATGCATTTAACATCTCATTTTGCATTGAAAGGATGGCTTTATAATGCAACATCCAGTTAATGTCTTTGTTCAAGCCCATGGAAACAGTGTTAAAATTGCATATGGTCATTTCCACTTGCCCTCTCTATAATTGGCTTGTGAGATTCCTTTGTAGAAGAATGGTTACTTTTAAATCCATTAATGAGTGCCCAGGCAGGTTAAAATATTCCCTTACAGGTTTGTGTGTGTTACCATTCCTGATATCTGACTTGTGTCCATTTATCTTTTGTTGTAGAAACTGTCCCATTTGGCCATTATACATGGCAGAGGGGCATTTCTAGCATATATCATATTAGACGATGTGCAGTTGTATGAGTCCCTGATGTTGTGGCTTATGTGGTTAGGTCTTGTGGTCGTGTTGCTTGTATAGATGTGTGGACAGAGCTGGCAACGGGGTTTATTGTAGGGGTAGGTTCCTGGGTGAGTGTGTCTGAGGTGTGATATGTAGCAGCTGGAAATAGTTTACTTCAGGTTAGGGGGTTGTCTGTAGGCAAGGACTATCCTATCTCCCAAGGTCTGTAAGAGTGAGGGATTGTTTTCCAGGATAGGTTGTAGATTGTCAATGATGCACTAGAGGAGTTTAGGCTTGAGGTGATGACTAGTGGTGTTGTGTTATTTTCCTTGTTGGGCCTGTCTTGAAGAAGCAGATTCCTGTACTCATCTGACTCTAACAATCTGTTTCTTTACTTCTGCAGGTGGGTATTTAAGTTTTAAGAATGTGTGTTTAAAACATCAAGATTGTTCTGCAAAAATGGCCAAATATGTAAAGTTGTATGACTAAGTTGCATGCGTAAGATTTCCATGTGTACCTTCTGCATACATGAAGCTCATACTTTGACATACAAATTTGGATTGGCAAATGTAAAAGCTGAGTGGTATATGCAGCTACATATATTGGTGTGCAAGTGCAAGGTTCAAGTGAAACATCAACAAAGAATGAATTACAGGTATTGCATACCATCTGTACAGGTTTCATATCCAAATACTGAGCTGCTTGAGGAAGCTGTCAAAAAAAGCAGTAACACTGCAAAAGACAATGCACAAATTTAGACCAATGCTCAGTGTTACTAAGTATAAATGTATATCCAATTCTATACCCATTATGTATCTATCTTTTCATTAGACAGGTAAAATGTACCTGTAGAGGATGATAAAATGCAGGTTGAATCTCTCTAGTCCAAGCACCCTGGACTGGACTGGTTCTAAACCAGAGAATTTTCCAGACGACACGAGGTCAATATTGTCTAGCAGTGACTTCCACTGCTTATTCTGCTGTTAAAGGATATTTAGGGGTAAATTAGGGCTAAATAACAGCACAGAAAACTGAGAGCTAGGACTGGTGGCTGTAAACACATTTTATGGGATGTGGAAATTGGCCACATCCATGAAGAGAAGACATATGGCTAACTAAAATAATTCTGGACCAGAGTTCTGGACTAGAACGGTTCAATCTGCATCTCCAGGCACAAACACACACAAACACAGCATCTCGGACGATACATCTGTAGAAAAAAATACGTCCAAAATATGGACATTTCAAATAGAATAGAGGTTGTTAGGAGCTGAACTCAGTGTGGAGGAAGAGCTAATCTCAACATAAGGCTCCAGGAAAGAGCCCTTTTGGTTCTTTGCACTTGCAGTGTTCTTTGCTTAGCAACAAGTACAAGTGTGTTGAGAGATTAATGCATAAATCTTCAATTGAAAAAGACCTGGAGCTAACAATTAAAGCTACTCCCCTTCAGACTGTTGTTTGACATATGATCCATAGTCCCTCATAGGTCACAGCAGTAATTAATGCAGTGTCTTAAAATAGCCCCACAGTCATTTAGACATGGATTTTTTAAACAGGGACTACTGAATTAGTGTCAATTAAAACAAAAAGTTTTAAGTCTTGGACTGCTCTAAATAAAGTATGAAGGATGTTGAGCTTGTGGGAAAGGACTTCAAGGGGATGTGCATATGAGTAAGAAAATGTTCAAAAGTGACAGACTGAAGTGGACATCCATTATCAACTTTCGAAGGAATTTAGGGTGAGACTAGAGCACCACTCTTTTCTTTGTAAAACTTGACATAAGATAGAAAGTCACTATAAGCCTCAAGGTTGCTCACTCAGTGAACTAAAGTCACTGCTACCAGCAGAATAACCTTCTCTATAAGAAATTTGACCTCACATGTATCAAGTGGCTTAAATGGCACTTTCATCAGTTTGTCAGAATCACATTCATATCCCATGACTCAGGGGGCTTTTTAATAGAGGATTGTAAATGTGACAAGCCCTGCTTGAACCTGGTGACTAAAGGATCCAAAGATACTGGTCTAGTTTTACAAGTTCCTGATAGGCAATATAACAGCTGAATAAACAGAAAGAGAATTACACTTTATTACAGACACAGAGAACAACTCCTGCAGCAGATTTGTGGGGGGAACTGTGATGGGATTCACTTGGCCCCAGCAAGCCTGAAGAACACACACATCTCAACAGTCTTTCATAATATTGGGATGGTTTGTAGAGAGACTCTCAAAATCACCATTTTGTTCATGTTGTGGTTTGGTTTTTGGTTAAAACAGGAAAGAACATGGCATCATGTGACCTGTGTAATTTACTCAGCCACTGGAAGGATGTGTGCAAAGCACCAGGCGCTGTCCATCCTCGTGGCAGTCCATAGTTGATGGTGTCCTAGCCGAGAGTACTTGTCAACAAGAGGAAAGAATCTGCCTCTCATTTGACCCGGAGTATCTCTGCTCCTGATCCCTTATGCTGTGTTGTTCTGTGTCTTCATCTTCTGGTTTGTCAGAGATTCTGCCATGTTCCTGAATCTGGGTGTGTTCCCTTTCAGTGACAGCCTTTGATTCAGTGATGTACTGACTTACATGATTTATCTGTATACTTATCTTACATTCTCTGAGGTCCTTGGCTTCAGGCCAATGTGTGAGATTAACAACCACGTGCTTTGTGTTACCTTTTAGTTGAATGGTTATGTATTTGGCTGTCCTGTTTAATACATTTGATTTGTTGTATATATCTTGCCAACTCAGTATCTTTCCTATGAACATCATCCCAGTGACAGATCTGGGAGGGAGTGTGAATCTGTAGGGTAGGGACTGGTGGTTAATTTCAGTAAGCTCCCTGTTGAATACCCTTATTGGGTTAAGAGACCCTACCAGGCAATTTGAGGGACTGGTAGCCGAGTTGGAGTCCACCATCCCCTGGTGCTTCCTGGGTTCCTCCAGTTAGTCAGGGGAGGATATGAGGAAATGAGTCCCAACTACCTTTCCAACTGATCCTTTCCACTAGTCTCAACTCAGGGCCAAATGGGGAAAGATGAGGAAAGTCTCAGTCCTCTATTGTTGGTACAAAAGACCAGCCTCACCTGGCCACTTCTTACCTCCCCAATTCTCTCTTCATTTTGGGGGGAAATCCCAGCATTTGTTTTCCCTCCCAGCTTCAGTAATTCAAACAGACCTTCCACCAGGTCACTGTCCAGTTGTTATTCTTTGTCAGGAAGAACAGAGGTAGAAATGGGACCCAGAACCTTGGCCTCTCAGTTGGGTCTTATCCATAGTCCAGATCCTTCCTCTATAGATTCTTCTGTTCCAGAAACTACTGTCTGCAGGAAGGCAGCTAGACTGTCTCAGAGTCTTCTTTCAAGCCAGTCATCCATTTGGAACCTGCTCTGCTGCTGCTGCTAATGGGCAGGGTCTTCTTGGCCTACTAGTGCCCCCCACTTCCTTTAGCGTCAGAGTTCATCTGAAAACTCCATTACAGGCATCTAAAGAGAGCCACATGTGCCCATTGCACGACATTGTTCCTGGTGCACGACTCAGGCTTCTGCTTTAAGGATGAATCCTTTGAAGTACTCCAAATCAGATTATTGTTGGAATAGGAATTTCTGAGGAGTACCTCTAGAAATGTCCTTGAGTACTCCTCTCAGAGTCTGATGACTTGATGACATCTCCAAGCATATCTGACACTCACACTTGTAGGCTACGTCTACACTGGCATGATTTTCCGGAAATGCTTTTAACGGAAAACTTTTCCGTTAAAAGCATTTTCGGAAAAGAGCATCTAGCTTGGCAGGACGCTTTTCCGCAAAAGCCAATCTAGATGCACTTTTGCTCAAAAAAGCCCCGATCGCTATTTTAGCCATCTGGGCTTTTT